TTAGTAATATAATTAGTTAATGGTATAAGCCACAATCCCTACTCGTAAGTGGTATATATATCATAATGGAAAGACATCTAATGACACCAGGGATGATTTTGAAGCCCTGGATTTGATACACATATTTATTGTGAGATGGTCACCAAAATAACGTTAGTTAACACCACCAACCCCTCACGTAATTATTATTTTTTGTGTGTGGTGATTATATTTAACATCTATTCTGTTAACAACTTTAAAGTATAGGATACAGTTAATTATAGTCACTATGTTGTCCATTAAGTCCCCAGAGCTTATTCATCTTCTAGCTGGAAGATGAACCAACCTCTCCCCATTTCCCCCACCTGCCAAGACCCTGGCAACAACCATCCTTCTCCCTATACCTTAAGTTCAGCGTTTTTAGCTTCCACATACAAGTGAGATCATACAGTATTTGTCTTTTTCTGTCTGACTTATCTCAGCCCAACACCCTCAAGACCCCTCCGTGCTGTTGCAAAAAGCAGGAGTGGGTTCTCTGAAGATGGAAGGCTTTACACAGTGCATGAGGTCATGAGTTCTCAGCAGGCACCAGAAGGGACAAACTCACAGAGAAAGGCATCATTTTCCTCCAGCAGATTCAGGGAGGAGGAAGTCTGCCCTGCGACTGGAACAGTGCTGAGTCACGGAGAGGCCGACCCATTAGCAGCCGAGAGCCAGCCCACATCCTCACAAAGTGAGGACAATTGCGCAATCTTCAGAGGAGAGAATTTACAAACCAGGTTGGCAGCCAAACTGACAGACCTAGGACTGTTATTCAACAGACAAGACCGTCTGCCTGCTGACTCTTTTGGAGACGTGAACCCAGCAACATGAGTGTTTATACCCAGGAAGCTGTTGGTCACCACGGACAGTCAAACAAGACTCCTTTAGATTGATGTTTCTGTCTCTCTCTCCCTGTTTGAGCATCGTGTGAGATTGTACGGTTACATGCGTGCGCTAAGCAGACAGTTGATACTAGTTAGTTCTGATTTCGTTTGGCCCCTGAAACAAGAAGCTATTTACTAATGGGGCTATTTTAGTGCATATCGGCTCTCTTGAGGGTCATGCCGAGACATAGGTGGCCATGGCAGTTGGTAAATTAGCTGATCACAAATGGCCTGGTGGGATCAGAACAGGACACCTTTCAGTTAGGGAGAAGAAAAGAGAGTCACAAAGCCAGCCAGGGAAGTACAAATTGCGACCCTGCCTTTTAAGAGCGTGAAGCGCTAACCTGGGATCCTCACTCTGGGGACCAACGTTTACTTGATCTGTACCTTCCCCTGTGGTGGGGCTTCACTGGCAATTCGTCAGTTAGATTTCTGGCCAGTTCTGCCCCTACCTTGGTACCCCCCTCCCCAAATGTCTGGTTGCCCTGTCTGGGTCTGGAAGCTCCAGCCTGTAAGGGACTGAGCACCTGTCTAAACCCCAGGTCCTTACTGATGGTTTCTTCTAACCTCCAACTCAGTCTTCCATGTTAGTGTTCAGTGCCGGGTACCAGGGTCTCCCAGTTACTGGGCTTCCTGCCCATGAACTCCAGTCCCTCTGTCACTGATTGGCTGCGTATGCATCCTCTCGATCACCTATGATGAGCCTGCCATTGTTCTAGGCATTTTACAGACAAAGCTCACACTTGCATGGAAGTGAACTTACATGTTGTCTGGGGGGGGGGGGGGGGGGGGGGGAGGGACAGGAAATACACAAGCAAATAAATAAACTTACATGATCATTTTAGATAGTGGTAAGTGCTAAGAAACAAAGAAATGCCGTAGAGGGTGATATGAGAGAGTGACGGGGCTGAAGGTAATGTGATCTAGATGGGGGGTCAGGGAAGGTCCCACTTGGGGGGGGGTGGATAGCATTACCGTGAGACAGCGTGGAAAGAAGCCAGCTTTGTGAAGGTCTGGAGGCAGAGGGAAGAGTAAGAACGATGGTCCTTAGGCAGGAAGGAGCCGTCGTGCTCCAGAAACTTGTGGGTGGAGTGCAGGGAACGGGGTGAGACAGGGAGGATGGGACAGGGTGTGTGACAGCAGGTGGGGTAGAGGCAGGGCCTGCAGTGAGGGGCCTTGGAGGCCCTGGCAAGGAGCTGGGGTCAGTCTACCTGCTGTGATAGACTGAGCCATGGGAAGAATTTTCTGCAGGGAAGTGATGTAATTCAATCTGCATGTTTCAAAGATCATTCTTTCTGCTTTAGAAGGTAGAGGTTATAGAAGGACACGAGTACAAAGAGAATAGCTAGGAGACTGCGTATAATCAAGGCAAGAAGTTCTAGTAGCTTGGCTTGGACTAGAACGGTAGCCTGGATGGAGAGAACTTAACACAGCGGGGATTCATCTTGGACGTAAAGCTACCAGGTTGTGCTGATGGACTGGACGTGAGCGCAGGGGAAGGGAAGGTGTTAAGGATAATGCCTGATATTTTTGTTTGAGCATCTGGGTGGATGATGGTACCTGTACCTGAGATGGGGAAGACAGAGTCAGGACGGTGGAGGGAGACCGGTGGGTGGCAGTCAGTGTTTCCAAGGCCATGTTGTTTGGTCACTCTTCTTAGACAGCCAAGTGGGACTGTTAGATTGGCAACTGAAGCTACTGTATGTTTGCAGCTCAGTGGAAAAATCAGAAATGGAAATGTCTCAGTACATAGATTGTTTTGGGCCAAGAGCTGTGCTACACATTTATATAATCATTCATTCATTCATTCATTCATTCATTCAATGTCCCTGTCCTAGGCACTGGGATTACAGCAGTGAACCAAACAGACAAAAACCCCTGCCCTTGGGCTTCCCTGGTGGCACAGTGGTTAAGAATCCACCTGCCGTTGCAGGGGACACGGGTTCGAGCCCTGGTCCGGGAAGATCCCACATGCCGCGGAGCAACTAAGCCCGTGCACCACAACTACTGAGCCTGCACTCTAGAGTCTGCAAGCCACAACTACTGAGCCCACGTGCCTCAACTACTGAAGCCCGCGTGCCTAGAGCCCACGCTCCACAACAAGAGAAGCCACCGCAATGAGAAGCCCCTGCTCACCTCAACTAGAGAAAGCCCGCGTGCAGCAACGAAGACCCAACACAGCCAAAAATAAATAAAATAACTAAATCTATTAAAAAAAATCCCTGCCCTCGTGGAGCTGATATTCTAGTAGGGAGAGAAGGACAACAAACAAACACATGGTTAAAATGTATGTCAGAAAAAAACATAGGAATGATAGAGATAGGGGAGGAGGCTGGGGATAGGAGAACAAAAGTGAACCCAGAGGTTAGGAAAGGCATCTTTGAAAAGGCTAAGATCTGAGTGTGGTGAGGGGGTGGGGGCGTATTCCTTGGGGAACGTTTCCAGGAGGAGCAATGCTGTGGAACTCAGGGAACAGGCAATGAAACTCAAAGGAAAAAGCCACAGCCTCAGCTTTCACAAGGCTTGCAGTCCAGCTGGGCTGACAGACAAGAGGACAGACAATTTCCACAGGAAGATAAACCCAGCCTAGTTCCTCTTTATCATCTGAAGCCTTCAGGAATTCCTTGAAAGCTTTTAAATGAGAAGCTATAATAACAGAAGTTGTGCTCGTGCTGTGAAAAGAAATAGCAATTTGTGTTTAAATGTTTTCTATCCCTTCCATCACAGCTACAACTTTGGATTTTACACTGTGACCTCAGATTCACACTTGCATAGCTGTGTCATCGTCACTGTCCTCTCGGAAATTCTGTGAGGATAAAATGAGGAAACGTGCGGCGGGGGGGCGGTGTCTGCACACAGGGAAGTGGTGGCTGTCTGAGGAAGGATGGGTATTGGTCAGATGGTGTCCACTCGCCCCTGGGCTGGCTCTGAACTCCAGCCTCAGGGACTTGGGGAGTACAGGTGGGCATGGGAGGGAGCAGGTCGGCGGGGGAGTGCAGGTGGGCGTGAGTTCTCTTAGCCCCAGCCCTCCCGGTGGGACTTGGGTTGCTCACCAAAGCTTTTGTTTTCACCTCTGATATCAGCAGAGGGTCAGGGTGTAGCCCTGGTCCATTTGGTGAGCAACTCCCAATGGACCAGTCCAATGGCTATTGTGCCCCGCACAGACACACTGCCCAGTCAATGGTGGGCTGCACTGACCTGCTGCTTCCCGACTCCTCCTGCCAGTGTGAAGAGTGAAACCTACAGCCCCCGGGGATGGGCTTGCTCAGAACTCACGTGAGAGCACTGCACGTGTTCACTGATCCTGTGGACGGTAGACTTCCACCAGTAAAGAAGTAAACCAACCACAAAAGAGGGTCCCTCTATCTTTGGTTTGAGCCCGATCATTTCTCTGAACTTTATATCCGCCCTCCATTCCTGAGGACGCGGCTGAGATGCGTGCCCTGGGAACCAAGCAGGGCTCACAGGGATGCGGGTCTAATGACCCTTGATCTCGTCACCTGCCTGGCTGAGCCAGGCCACCACGCTAGCCTCGACACCATCCTGGATTCGTGGCTGCTACTGGCCATTTTCATGGGCATCCTCAACTTTGCGCACTGGGGCTGGGCAAAGCAAAGAGCTTGGGAGCCAGCCGACCTGGCTTTGATCCTCACCCGTCTCTTAGCAGCCACGTGACCTTGGACCAGAGTCAACCTCTTTAAGGCTCTGTTTCTTCATCTGTCAAATGGCAAGAATAATAACTCCATCAGCGTTCCTGTAAGGGGCAAGTGAGTTACTACGTCTGCAGTGAGTGAGCCCATACTTGTCATGCATTACTCAAAATAAAGTGCTCGAAATAAAGTGTTATAATTGTTGGGCAGTCTTCCTCTGACTTTTTATAGCACAATCTGTTACTGCAAGGCAGTCGTCTGCCCCAGCATTTAACTGAATATATCCAAAATATTATCAGTTTAACATGATATTTTTTATCATGGTAAAATACACATAACATTTACCATTTTAACCACTAAGCGTACAATTCAGTGGCATTAAGTACATTCATTGTTGGGCAGCCATCGTCACCATCCGTTCACGAAACTTTATTCATCTTCTCCCCAAAATATGGAACGCTTCACAAGTTTGGGTGTCACTCTTGAGCAGGGGCAAAGCCAATTTTCTCCACATCCTTTTCAATTATCACCCACTGCCCAAGCCAGTGCAGCACCATGGTGTTTTAAAGGGGTTCATTGATGGTCTAAAAGTGGCCAACGTGTGTTAAAGCACGTTACAGAGTATCTACACTTTAAACGTAATGCACTTCTTCAGAAACTCAGCACTGTGAAATCTGTGGACACACATTTTAAGAGACAACTGTAGCTTGAACATTTTAATTTTCACGCAACCTCTTGGGGTGGGCTGTCACCAATGTGCTTTCTCACAGATTAGATTCCTGACTAGTTGGAGGCACTGGTTAATAAATTCTTCCCAAACAAAATAATGTCATTTGCAGCAACACGGATGGACCTAGAGATTATCATACTAAGTAAGCCAGACAGAGAAAGGCCAATACCACCATATCACTTTTATGGGGTCTAAAAAAATGATACAAATGAACTTATTTACAAAACAGAAACAGACTCACAGGCATAGAAAACAAACTTATGGTTACCCAAGGGGAAAGTGGGGGGTGCGGATTAATTAGGAGTTTGGGATTAACCGATACACACTACTGTATATAAAATAGATAACCAAGAAGGACCTACTGTAGAGCACAGGGCACTCTAATCTGTAATAACCTAAAAGGGGAAAGAATCTGAAGTTATATATGTTATAACTGAAGTTATAACATTCAGTTATATATGTATAACTGAGTCACTGAAATTAACCTGACATTGTAAATCAACTATACAATAAATAAATAAATAAATTCTTCCCAAACAAACATATTCTTTCCACAGATTTTAGACCTGTATCCTTTGTTGTGAAGCTGGTGGTGTCATAGAATGATGGAGCCCCCATCGGCCTGGGTCCCTTAGCAATTCTGAAGAGCAGAGGCCCCTGCTAGCCAGTGGCGACTGTAGTATAAGCAGAAATAAACTTTTGTGGCTTTAAACCCCTGCGATTTGGGGATTATTCATTACAGCAGCACAATCAGCCTTATCCTGATTAATACTCATTTTAAGTAACAAATATGAAAAATTCACTAAATCACTGAAGGCTTTCTTCTCTTTCTCCCATATCTCCAAATTCTCCGCTAACCACCACCACAAGCAATTGAAAAAAGAATCTGAAAAAACCCTTTGGGGCATAATTCTAATATTCCTAGTTCTTTTATTTGTTTTCCAGCTCAGATTTGGTAATGTAATGAGCCTGTAAAGCAACTATCTAGGTGATCCTCTAAGGTAATATAGTTACTGGCGGGGATTAGTGTCCAAAAGCATCTGTCTTTCAATCGTCTTCATGACATTCCCATGTCATTCTCACTTGACAGAGATATTTTAGGTCTGAAAAGTTATTTGCTTTATTTTTTTCAAGTTAGAAAAGAATACATTCCTATGTGAGTCAATTCTCCTGATTTGAAACTACAGGCTAGACACCTTCCAAAGGTGAAGATGTGAGCACAAGTCGGTCTTGAGGATTCTATCCATTCAGAAAAGAGGGAAGGAGACCTGTGTGAAACCCAGGGAGCTTTTCCCCAGCAAATGCACACACAAAAAGTGTGCGTTCATCTTCAGGAGACTCACGCACTCCTGAACCCAAGTGTCACGTTTCTACCTGCCCTAGAAAGATGTCGTATGGCAGAGTGGCTTCATGTAAAGCAAATCACACCCAATTCAAAAACCTGAGTCCAAGTCCCAGAACTGCCACTTACTAGCCGTGAAATCAGAGCCCCACGTCCTTTCAGAAAGGAGAAATCTCTTCTGAGCATACTGTGTGTCACACAGCCATCAGGATGGAAACAGAGCTTTAAGGATGGTTAAGGCTGGAGGCTGCCCTCGACACCCTCATGGGTTAGTGTACAAACACAGAGGAGAAGACACCTCCCCTTCTCCCTCTCCCCAGTTCTAATCCCAGAGAGCTGGTTTCCAGGACACTGACTGGGTCTCCTTTGCCAGTGGGTGAGGCCACGAGGTATTAAGAAGTCCCGTTTTGGCCACCCTCTGATTATTCCTGCTCCTGGATCACTCCACCCTGCTGCTCTCCTGGCTAGAGAGAGAAAGGCAGAGCCCGCCCCGCTGGGACGGAATCTCTTGCTCTTTTCTCTTCTTCACAAATCAATGGGCTTTTGCTTGGAGTTGAAGGCTGGATTTATGCTTGGGGCGTGGGAGAAGTCCCCACCATGACCTGGAGGCGCATCCTTGTGCTGAAGCCCCAAAGAAGCCCAGGTAAAAATAGAGTGGACCTGGGGTCTCTCATCCCTTATCCCTTATCTGTACATCTCCCTGAGGGGGTCAGGAGGGAGGAAGGGATTTACTTGGTGGATCAAATTTAGGTATTCCTGAGTCCTCTAGCCAAGTATCAACAATGCCCACCATCATTAAAAGTCTGGAAGTAATAAATGCCGGAGAGGGTGTGGAGTAAAGGGAACCCTCCTACACTGCTGATGGGAATGTAAACTGGTACAGCCACTATGGAGAACAGTATGGAGGTTCCTTAATAAAACTCAAAATAGAACTACCATACGATCCTGTGATCCCATTCCTGGGCATATATCTGGAGAAAACTCTAATTCTAAAAGATGCATGCACCCCGATGTTCAGAGCAGCACTATTTACAATAGCGAAGACATGGAAGCACTTAAATGTCCATCAACAGGGGAATGGATAGAGAAGATGTGGTACCTATACACAATGGAATATTAGTCAGTCACAGAAAAGAGTGAAATAATACCATTTGTAGCGACATAGATGGACCCAGACATTATCATACTAGGCTAAGTCAGTGAGACAAAGAAAGACACATATCATCACTTATATGTGGAATTTAAAAAAATGATACCAATGAACTTATTTACAAAACAGAAACAGACTCACAGGCATAGAGAACAAGCTTATGGTCACCAAAGGGGGTAGTGCAGGGCGGGGTGGGGCAGAGGGGTAGATAAATTAGGAGTTTGGAATTAACGTATGCACTCTTAAAAAAAAAAAATGCCCCAACGCCACGTGAGCGCTTTAGGGAAAGTAGCCAGAATGCTATCTGGTCAGTGCTTTGGAGGCAGAGGTGGGGAAACCATTCACCGTGGGGTGATGATGCCTGATTCCGACCTGTCTCACCTCCCTGATGTGTGATGAGGGCATGGAATGAGCTGTGCACACAAGTGCTTTGCAGATTGTAAAGACACAAGTGAGACATCATTGTCATGCTCCCAACGATGGCATCGGTCACCCCAACTTATCCCAAGAAGGATGGGGCTGGCTTGGGTGTGTGCTCCCTTCCTTCCCCGTTCCCAAATCTCTCCTGTTCTACCCTGCCTCCAAGAGGACTGCTCTTCTGTCCAGGGGAAATGAATACCCGCCCTCCAGTATGCCTTCCTGGCCCCCTTGAGATCTTGCTTCTTTCTTTTCTTTTGGGAGTTAAGATTCTAGGTCAGAAAGTCTTCTGAATTTAAAGAATTCACTCAGAGAATGTCTTCTTTCTTTGCTCAGGCTAAAAGCAATCCTGAACACCAATGCTGGGTCATGTTTGGAAACTTCCCGGGAGTGGCTGGGAAAGGAGGATCTGATTTAACTAGAAGTAAATTTTGCTCAAATGATATGCACTCTCTTCAAGGCAATGTGTAACTCAACTACAAGCTTCCCTCATCTTTTCTCTTTTCCTCGTGTGCTCTCCTACTCAGATTCCCTGGGCTGTCAGGTCGCAGGACATTGGAAAAAGTCACATCGCATCGCAAACCTAGACATGCCTTCTCTCCAGCCACCTGCAACGCAGCCAGTGCTCCGTGATTCTCACCACCTGCTTCACAGAGACCAGGACATTTGCACCTCCTCTCATCTCTTTATCTTTGCCACGGTTCCTAGGATCCTCTAGCCTCTGATTTCCCAGATCTGGGGGCTCATCATTTACATGCTTGGCATTCTACTCACTAAAGCGTTCTTGTGCCACAAGGAGCAGAAGCCCTGTTTGTTGGTGTGCCAGTTTGGAGAGCCAGGACCTAACTGAAAATAATTTAGCATGTGTGCAGGATTCTCAGAAGCCTTTATGTGAGCCTTGAGCCTCCTCAGCTGAGTTTCTAGTAGAGTCTGCAGCCTAGATCACTCTTGATCCCTGCAGAGGAAGCTGGAAGCTCGGGACCCAGGTGGGTGGCACTGAACTCAGCCCAGAGCTGATGGCACAGGGAGAAGGGGAAACAGCTTGGTTTTTTCCATCTCATTCTGCAAAACAGGACTAAGCCTGTCCCTATCCTTTGGAAATGAGAGAAGATGAGAATTTACATCAGTTTGCAAATTAATTGTCCAGAATATGAAAGAAGCCATGCATACTGGGCATTTCTGAGGGTGGGAACAGAAGTTCAGTGACTATGAACGCAACTTAGAAGGGTACGAACTCCCTTGGGTGAAAAATGATTAAGACCAACTTGGCTTAGCTGAGAACCTTATTACAAGTCCAAGACCCTGCCACTGCCATATCAAACATGGTGTCCATTTATTCATTCATTCAATCAAAACTTTAGCACTGACTTATGTGTGCCAAGCTGAGAACAGGGGACTGCCAGGAAATGAACTCTCATGGACGATTGAGAAAGGTGGATAGAAAATCGCAACATAGTGAGATAAGAACCAAATGATGGGCAATCGACAACAGCACAGCAATTGTGAGACGTCGGAAACGACACAAACCATTTTTATAATTTAAAAAGTTCCGAGGCAAAGAACCCATAGAATGTTTTGGGGCTTTTTTGGTTTGTTTTGTTTTTTTTACGGTACGCGGGCCTCTCACTGCTGTGGCCTCTCCCGTTGAGGAGCACAGGCTCCGGACGTGCAGGCTCGGTGGCCATGGCTCACGGGCCCAGCCGCTCCGCGGCATGTGGGATCTTCCCGGACCGGGACACGAACCCGTGTCCCCTGCATCGGCAGGCGGACTCTCAACCACTTCACCACCAGGGAAGCCCTCATAGAATGTTTAAAGAAGCCCTGAAGGTATCTATTTTTCATGGATTATTACTTATGTATTTATTGAGATATTCTTAAAAACAAGGCTTTAAAAGCAGATGCTAGAACACA